ACACTGTATCTGTTCCCATCCTTGTGCAGAGACTTGAAGCTATAGGGATAAGAGGTAAAGCTCTCTCCCTCTTTGACAGCTACCTCCGAGGTAGGAGACAGCAAGTTAAAATAGATAACTTGCTTAGTGAGGAGGAAAACATTGTTTACGGTGTCCCACAGGGCTCAGTTCTCGGCCCATCACTGTTTCTAGTGTATGTTAATGAATTATGCAACCTACGAAGCAGTGGTGGGAAAACCTTCTCCTACGCGGACGACACGGCCATCGTTTACATTGGGGACTCGTGGGAAGAAGTATGCAATAATGCCGGGCAAGGATTAGTTGTTATAGATAGATGGCTCAAAGCCAGTCTGCTAACCATTAATGTGATTAAAACGAAGTACATTTGTTTTTCTCCTAGTTTAAGGTCTAAACCAGGCCTCAATTTTAAAATTAGAATACACACGTGTGCGGACCACTTGAACCATAATTGTAATTGCCAGGTCCTTAAACATATAACGTCCACAAGATACTTGGGAATTATAGTTGACGAATGTTTAACTTGGCATTCGCATATTGAGATTGTTACATCACGGGTGCGCAAATTTATATGGATTTTTAAAAATTTAAGATATGTGATGCCTCAGAAGACACTAAATATCATCTATATTATGCTTACGCAATCAGTTCTTACATATTGTTTACCAGTCTGGGGAGGAGCCACTAAAACTAAATTCCTTGAGATAGAAAGAGCCCAAAGGTCACTTATAAAAGTCATGTACTATAAACCATACAGATACCCCACCGACGATCTATATATAGAATCAGTGGCTTACTTTCAATTAGAAAACTATATTACTTAATTACGGTCCTATACTTACAAAAATCTATTCCATTTAACAAAGACAGTCAAGAGAGGAGACGAAAAGACATAGTGGCTTACTCCCTAAGGGTCCGAACCGCTTTTGCACGGCGTCAGTATGCAACCCAATCAGTCTACATTTATAATAAAATAAACGTAAAATTAAAGTTCCACCATGAGGTATCACACGTGTGCAAAAAGGTAATAACTGAGTGGTTAAAAACCTAACATACGAAGAAACTGAACAAATTTTAGATAGACTTAGTTAAGCAATTTTTTTTTCTTCTTTCTTATCAATAATGTATGTACTCAACGAGCTTAAGCTATTACATGCACTTCGAACACACCGGCACTACAAAGAAGACACACACTCACACACATAAACACACACACACACACACACACACACACACACACACACACGCACGTTTAAAAACAAGATGCACTACAGTTTCACACAGGCGTACAACTACAGTTACACAAAGAGCTAATAATTACTTTATAAGTCACTTACTGTTATTTTTTCTTCATAAATTTATCTTTACTTACCTTTTGTATAATAGTCTCAATATTGTTAATAATTAAGGGAAAGAGCGAGATAGCCCCAACACAAGTATTATCAACTACTTACTGGGGATGTCGCATTTATAATTCATGTAACTGTTTTGAGACAAATAAACATTTTCATTTTCATTTTCATTTTACAGATAAAGTTCCTACATTCGTAAATGAGGATTCACGTTTAATCAATCTATCTATAAATAAATATTTTGTCATTGTCATGCAATCAAATTACACAATGAAAATCAAATAAATATAAATTACAATAAAATTATTACAAATCATAATAATACAGAATGTCAGCTATATAAGTTAAGCATATTTAGTCCGCCTAAAACAATGAGCTGCCAAGTTTTGTTGGTTACCTATAATCACGACCAGTGGCGATTATCCTACAATTACGGATAGCTGATTCCTTAGAAAGCTGTAAAATAATATATTTAAAAGAAATTAATATTCGCTATCTCAAATTTATCTTCTTTCCACCGGAGAGCAGTCTCGAAACGATTATTCTTCGACTCTTTTGTTGTAGAATCTTCATAGCGCGCTCTTCTGGATCGTTCTTCTGTATCCTTGGTTCCGCTCAGAGGGCTTCCAAGTCGAAGAACTTCTTCATCATATCTTCCGTTGAATTGTTCTGCGTCGCGATAATGGTGTGCCCACAGAATGCAACTGGTTTCTGGTACGACAAGCGATATCCATGTAATACCCAACCTAGTCACGTATAAGGTGTGATAGGTTGATCTTGTCTTCCTGTTCGTATTGTAAGTGCCACCAAGAGATCCTAATTGTCTTGTTCTATTAATATCCTGGGGAGGCATCCTTGTAAACTAACTGGTCTGCCATCTCTCGTAGATGAAGGCAATCCTGAAGATCTTTTTTTCTATGTTCTGTTTGGTGAACATCAGGCGTTGTATGGTACGCGCCTTACGTATAGTGTATTCTTCATTGTTATATTTCTCTCGTATCTTGATGACAACCCTCTTGCTGTTTTCGTGCTTCACCGTTTCATTTAGACCTTGTACCCACATATGAGCACGTGGGCTGCCTAAGTTCAATAATTCTGCCAATCCTTCGTCGATGAGCGTGACGGTGCTTCCATCGTCTATCAAGGCTTAGGTGTCGACTCTTATACTCTCTTATATGCGCCTGTAACTCTCTAGAAATTTCTGTGCCTCACCCCGTCTGGCCTGGATCGCTTTACTGGCATTACTTACCTTGCCAATACTTTACCTGACAATGTGCAATATGATTTGTTTTCCTACATAGTCTTTGAATACATCCCACGTCTGCAACAGTGGAAATTTAAAACATTTGTAGTTTTAAATTTAACCATTCGGACAAGGTTTGTAAAGGCAAACAGCGCTAAAATCTGTTTTGGAAACCATCATTATAATGGTCCGGCTACACCCGTCGTCTTGCCTGCGAGCATGCCTACACAAACCAGTATGCGGTATGCGCAGGTAAGCGCATGCGTGTGGGTGGCAAGGCGGTAGCTCGCGCAGTCTCGGAAGCGCGGCTTGTGCAATCGTTGCTTGACTGAAGATTTGGACTGTGCAAACTTGGCTTGAACGTGTGGCCGATCATTCAAGTCGTGCATCAGTCCTAGGAAATTATTTTCGACATAGTACGTGTCGCAAATCAAAAAATTTGCCATGTAAGAAGTTATTCAAAGAAATTTTTAACTCAGTTCATAAAACTATACGAATCGTTACCGAATTAATGGAAAATTAAAACCACCAAAAAATTACGACCTTTCAAACCTAACTAGGATTCTACAGTTCAGTTTGCACGAGCTTACCTGCACGTGTGGCCACTACACAGTGTTCCGTCTTTTTGTATAAAGTACGTCCAATGAGAAGCGATACCAAATGTAAATAAAATCAATGCAAGGTTATTAGGAATAGCAGGGGTGCGTAGTTTTAAAAATGTCTAGCAAACCAAAAAAATAGACTATAAATTTTGTTATAATTTTAATTATTGTATAATGTAGATTTAAATTAAATAACGAGAATAAAAATAATGTTTCTGAATATCGCTTGCTTAATAACTGTGTGCCCGGTGTATGGTAACAGGCTTGCCCCCTGTTACATAGGGACTTAAATATATCAGGCAAAATGTAAAATATAATTAATTTAAGGGATAAAAGTTAATATTTACAATATCGATATTTATACACATATATTATATCGTCATTTTTTTTATAGAATAAGGGGGTAACGAGCACAAAGTCCCCTGATGGTAAGTGAATGCCGTGGCCCATAGACATCTACATTTCTACCCTCGATTAAGAATCAAAATGCAGATGCACTGTCACCCCTGAGGACTTAGATGGAATGCCTCGTTTGCAGTAAAATGAGTCTCCGGTTCTCTACACTCATCATACGAAACGCAGCAATACTAAGCTGCTATTTTACGGTGGTATTCTGTGAGAACGTGGTCCTGCCCCGGTTGAGCCGACCCATTCGTGCTACAACCATTATATAGCTGCAGCGTTGCGCTACCACGAGTAAAAATTATAAATATCATGTTTTGCATGATGTACTAGGATAAGGCCCAAAATTTTGTAACTGACGGTTAGACGACGAAAAAAGAAAACGACAGCAGCACATGAATGCTTTCTTAGCTGCTTTCGTTGCTTATTGTTTTGTCAATTAATACAACATTTGAAAATATATCGAAATTGATACGAATTCGATACTCTAAAATAAATATCGAACATCGATATATCGCGATTAAAAATATCCAAAATGTATATCGATATTTTTTACCAAGCCTACATGTGTATATGGTGAGAAAGTTGCCGATTTGTGGGGAATTCCCCCAACTGCGGGGAATCTCGAGTCGATTGGGGATTTATTGGGGATTGGCATTATGCGGGGATTTTGACATCTTTATCAACATACTTCTTCAAGAATTCCAAATGTTTTAATATTTTTGAAATTAATACTATTTTTGCATCGTTGTGATTTGAAACTGGATGAAGCGGAAAAGCGACACTGAAAAGAGACAAACGTATACATAATTACATAAACGTATAGGATGATAGGCTTGCGTGAGAATGAGATGAACACAGTGCATTTTGTTGTTAGATTTTGATCAACACCGGCTTAAAACTCATGGAAATAACATGGATGCTGAATGTTACTGTGGTAAAGTGTTACGCCGTTGTAACGCTACGGAAGAATACATGTTCCCAAACATAAAAATTGTGATGTCCTTGTTGCTCATACTGCCGTTTTCAAACGCATTGGTCGAACAAAAATTAAGTGTGCTTCAAAATTTAAAAACAGAAAACCAAAATCGGCTAAATACTGATACTGTAATATATTTAATGGCAACAAGACAGGGGATTAAAATATTGGGCGGAAACGTCTAGTTTAACCCTTCGAGCAAAATGCTTGCAGCAAATTAATGGAAAAAGTGTAACAGTATAAAACTTGTTTCATTATTTAAAATAATATTGAGGGGAATTTGTGGGCATCAGCAGATTTTGTCCCCAAATTTGGGGAATTTTATTTGTATATTTGGTGAATTACACACATTGGCATTGGCAACCCTAATTGGTGACCATACCCAACCCAAACTAGAAGTTGTTGCCTGTTGCCTGTGAAGGATGCCTTCAGCTGCGAATGCAAAGTCTGAAAAACCAGCCTCTTCGGAGGCTACGGATAATTCACCTATACGGCAAATTATAACAATTATAGAACACAAAGTTCGTAATTTGGAAAAAAGAAAGGTAAGTCAAAGAAATATTTAGAACATCAACATTATGACATAGTGTACCTTTTGTTCCGAGTAATTTATTATCTTTTTATACCATTTAGTTATGTTATAATATTAGATATTATAAAATGCGAAATGCCCACTGCAAACATTTTTCTTGAGTATTTCCGGCATTTTGTGTTGTATGTAAATAAAAGTTGCGGTGTTTCAATGACGCCATTTTTATACATGTGCTCCAGTCCGGTACTCTTATTGTCACTCAATCATAACGCTCAAAATTCTATATTCTCTCATTTACATGAAATGCATTGTGTTTTTACTATATAAACTTCATTTTAATCAGTTGAATGCCTTTCAACAGTTAGAGCGCATTAAATCAATTTGTTAATACATAAAAAAACCCTAGTTATTTATGATTTAATGAATAATGTATACAATAAATCATTTGATAATCAATTTTATTGTAATACCGACATGAATATTATATAAATTACTAATATTCTGATAAATAATACAAAAATTTAAATATATATATATACATATACATAATAAATTCTTTAAATATTTTTAAATCAATCTACTCCCATGATGTAATGCTGTTGTATAATATTTTATAACATTAACAATTTTGTTTTTAGAGCAAGTTGACATCATACCGTGACCTGCAAAAAGCTGGTAAAGAATTAAAAACTGATCAAAAAATAGCTGTTGCTAAGTATGATGAAGTTGCTCAAACATTGGAATTTGCAAGAGATCTCTCAAAACAAATTACTGCTATTGCAGCATCGGCTGAACGTGAGGCTAAAAAACAAGCCAAAAAGGTAAGTTAGTATTTTATGAAATACTTATTAACATGTATTTTTTTTGCTATCATAACTGGTGATGCAACGAATACTACTTTTACGAATACGAATATCAAACCTACTATTCAGCGAATACGAATACAAATATCTCACCATGGTAATAAAAAATTTAATTTATTTGATGTTTTCTATTGTTCTAATAATTAAAATTTACAATTGGTAAATATTTATTTAAAAGACATAAAATTTGTAGATTTTCTGGTTTTAGACGATTTCTTTTTTCAGTTTGGATGTTCCCAGCCGTTGAAAAAAGTCTTTCCGAGGCAACTGTACATAGTTGCAGTGAAAAATATTATTGCAAGTCCTCTGCCGGTGAGGCTAAGGGCCAAACACACATATTTTTTTGCGCAGACGACGCGCATTATCCAAGTCCACCAGTAATTAGAGTTGTGTACAAAAATATTAGTTTTTAAATATTTGTGATCAGTATTCGCCAAATACGAATATTCAGTAAATGACCACCATTCAGTGAATACGAATATTCGTATTCGTTTCATCACTAATCATAACCAAAAAACACCTTAGTTATTAAATTAGTGCAAGTTTTATTAAAAGTTTAAATTATGTATAAGAAATATGTAAAAATTTAACTGAGGATTTTTATAATAGTTACAGTATCTACATAAACATCTTACATATGATTAAATATGACTACCTATCTACACGAATGCAGCATATAATTTGAATTTAAGAAAAGAGCCCTATCCCTTAAGAGAGCTGGCTAAAAGGCCTGCAGCACTTACAATTCCTTCGCTAAATTAAACACACATTAAAAATTCCAAATGAAATAGGCTTCACTGGTTACAAACCAACAAATCACTATATACGTGGTAGAGCCATGCTGCAGCTATATTAATAGTATAGTTGTAGCACAAATTGGGGATCTTATACTATACCCCTTACCCTTATACTATATTTTTAAAAAAATGTCTTCAATACTAAGAGATTAGCAAACTCTAAAATTCTTAATTATAATTAAAATTTAGCACGATTTTGAATTTTGTCATGCTTTAGCTGGACAGGAAATTAGTAGTTTATTTGTTCTTTTTAAATTTGCAATGGGCTACATAAGGCTGTATCTCCCTTTATAGTTTATGGTCATTTGAAGGCTATAATGAATTTAAAACTTGTTCAAAAACAAAATGTTCTTGTTCATTCCATGCATTTACATCACTCCCTCTGAGATGTAAAAATTTATCCCACTAAAAAGACAAATGTGAAAAGGAGTCTAAGATTAGTACAAACAATGTATTTGGGGTTGTGAGCTTAGTAAAAGAGTTGAGATCTCATGGGTGCCAAGCTCCATACCAGTTGGTTAAATCATAAGATCTAAAGAGATGTACACATTCTTGTTAGTGCTATGGACTCATCACATCTAACGATAGTCATCCATGTAGGCTATCTAAATATTGTCCATCTGTGGGGCAATGAAACTATCTACATATGGGCTCATGTTCATTTGTGTTTTTGTCCTTCATACATATTGGGAATATTTAAACTTTTCCAGCATGCAGGTTTAATTAGTGCCAACATTATTGGCGTGTCTTGTGTCATTTATAACCATTGATTTTTAACATCATAGACTGTTATAATTACTTTTTAGTAAACATACTTGATCTTCCTTAAATTTGGTAATATACAACTTACAGGATGCATGGGTGCGCTGTGCTGCTGAAACCAACAAAATTCGTGAAGCTCTTTTAATTTTGGATTGCCTTATGCAAATGGGCAACTCTGAGGCACGAGAAGACTTCTTGAATGGGGCAAACGGAGCAACTAAACTTACTGAGGACGACTTGAAAATTTTGGATGACTTGTTAGTATCATAATTTAATTTTTACTTATTTTATACTAAAATATTCATTTGAGCACTAAATGTATGCCATAAATGAGCTATCACCTTATAACATAACATAAACACTCACGCCTGTCACCCAGAGGGGTAAGCAGAGATTATGGACTTCCATTTGGCACGATCCTGACACACCTCTCTCGCTTCCTCCACATCCATATACCTACGCATACACGCTTATGTCACCTTATAAATGATTATATTTGTTGTAAACATTTTAGAATGCCAATTGGGATTGAGATAAGTTGTAATAGACAGACAGTCCAGGGTTCAAGGTTTCCTTTTAATCATTGATTATTCCAGCAATATTAGTTTTTAGGAATACAATTTTAAGTTAACCAGTATGCCCAGTAATTTGTAACATGAAGTTTTGGTAAACTTGAACCTGTAAGTTGTTGTTTGTCACTGCAAGGGAACTATCTCTCACTTTCCAATTATAATTTAGATTACTGTTGACAGTATTGAAATAACTGAAGGTACAAATTGTGCAGTATTTTTATCACGCAAGAATCATATTGTCGCCTAAAAATTTAAGTACACTGAAATTAACAAAAAGGTAGGAAATTATATGAATTTTATAGTGTTTTTAGATAGTTTTAGAACACATTTCTGCACTTAGAATAAGTATATACCAATTCATAAAAACCTAATGTCTAAAATTTTGGTGTACCTTATACAATACTAGATGACCAGGCAGACGTTGTTCTGCCCTCTTCGATGACCCTGTGTACTATAAAAATTCTTAAATTTGTAATAAAAATACCTATTGAGAGTCACTTATAGGGATAAAAGCTATCCTATCTCTCAAATTGAACCAAACTGCACACTGTGTGCAGTTTCATTGCAATCAGTTTAGTAGTTCATTGCGGACAAACAATGTGACATGTAATTTTTATATATAAAGATTATATTGGGAACATATACTGTGGAATATTGTACTATTTTTTTGCTTTGTAAATGGAACAAGTTATTGACTATGAAGGAAATCATTGATATCAATCATTTAGCTTCGGATGATAAGGTGACGAAAGGTGCTGAAATTTGCCTCTGTCGCTTGAGGTGATAGATTTGTATCAGACTCAAGGGACAAGACAAATTTAAATTTTGCAATTTTATTACTTCGTCCTGTTGGTGCTTGCTGGACTAATAATACTTGGGCGATTAATGTAATTAGAGAAAAAACCACTTTCGGCGACTAGAAAATACTCTGCCTAAAGCACCTGAGATGTGGATAGCATGACTCCTTCGTCCCCTTCAATCTCTTTGTGACCACCAATAACACCAACTTCAACCCTACTACCAAAATGACTAAGTTTTCACAGTTTATTGTGATAATTATTTCACTGGACTGTCACTGACTATGGATATAAATTAATGAAATATCCTAGTGACAGGTACAATACAATCACATTATGAAGTATCCTTTGTAAGACGACAATAGTTGTTCAAGAAGGAACAAAGAGCTGTTCAAAACTGGGACAAAACAGGTAATTGAGATGTCCACTGGTATGATAACAGTACTTATATGTATCTATCATGTTGTGAATTTAGCCAAAACGAAACTGCAAGATGATACTCAAATGTTCAGAACCCGACATTCTTACATCAGTACAATTATTTCATAGGTTTAGTTGTAAGATCCAATATCGGCACCTATAGAATGTCAATTAGAGGCAAGAAGTATATTTCTATACTTTTATAGTACATTTATAGTACATGTATAATGTTGAGAAAATCATTGGCATTAATTGGACTGTTATGTGCCCACTGTTAGAGCATAACAGTCACATTTTGTAAAAAATGGTAATAAATTTACATGCTAAATGTTTTACTTGTGTTGTGTTCTCTACATTCTTTTTTTTTTAAATATTTTATGTTCTTATTATTTCTAAATATTAATTAATGATGTGTTATTGTAATTAATAAACACATAAGATCTTATTTTATTTATCCAAAGTGAATGTATGATGTAGCCCCTTGTTTTTTTTTAAATTTCCTAGATATACCTATTTAATTAACATATTTCTGCTAAAATTAGTCATCAACAATGCATTAATAGGGGCCAATCAACATAGACATATTTATCTGTAAGTTACCACAATGGGAATCCTAAATAGTTCCAGGCATATACAATGTGATGTTATGTAAAATACAATAAATGAAAACTTGGTCATTACTACTAGTTCGAAAAAATATTTCACAATAGTTAATTTTCTTCTTAAATCAAAATTATTAAACATGCATTATGTAGTCCTTACCTATATGAGTGGCACTTTTATTTTTTATTAACAGTTAATTACACATATTTTACAGGTACTCTGAAGTTACACCAAAGCATGAAGTAAATGAGGAAGGTGAACCTGGATTTCATATGCAAACAGTCAAAGCTGCTGAACATTTATATGCTATCATTGATGGAAAACAAAAAGATATTTTGGGCACAACATATGCTCATATTAAAGAAATAGTGAATGCTGTACATGAATGTGGATATTTTGACAAAACTGTTGAGACCGTTGCAGAAACTGAGGAAACCCATATTATTGTGGAAGAAGAGCAGCAGATATCAGCTTTGGAAGTGGAGGAGGTTAATGCTGCCCCTTCCTACCCCCCACCCACAGTCCTCCCTGTACCTCCTGCTCCAGCTGTTGTTCCTGCGCCAGGCTATCCACTCCGTCCTCTTCCCCCAATAACTTTACAAGAAGTTGAACATGCATACTTCTCTCAACAGTATCCACAACAAAGACCTATTTCAGAAGTAATTGGATCTCAAAACTTCTTTTTCCTTCAAGAATCTGAAATTGACAGCCCTGTTGGGACCCCTCAGCCTCCGCCACTCATGAACCAGCAGTCGCCACCTGCGCCGATCCCTACACAGACATACACAAATCAGCACTTTGTGCAAATCCCTGCAGCACGAGTACCAGAGCCCACGCCTATACCAATGCCCCCTCAGCCACATTTTCCTCCCCATCCTGAACACGCCGCTTATCCCGGCGTTCCTATTCCTGCTCCTATCCCACCACAACAGCCACCTGTACATCCGCAGACAGTACCACAGCAACCATTGCAACCTGTCCCACAACCAATTCCACAACCAGTTGTGGTTGAACAAGAACCAGTGCAGGCTGAAGAGCAAAAAGCTCCTACACCAGTTGAAGATAAAAATGAAGATGAATGGAAGGAAAGCCAAAGTCCTAAATATGAAAATAGCAATGATCGCAAAACTCAAGGTCAAGGAGATGGTCAAAACAGGTTCAGGCGTTACGGTCGTGGAGGCAGAGGTGCATCTAATGGTTATCGTGGACGCGGAAACTTTCAAAACAGACAAAATGATGGATATCACCCTCGCGGTGAATATCAGAACAGAATAAACAAAGATGGCTATCAGAATAGACAGTATGATGGCTACCAGAACAGACACAAAGATGGATATCAGAACAGGGGAGGTAATGATGGTTACTACGGTAACGGAGACACTGGCGACAGCCATCAACAGAATGAAAATGGTGGTCGCGACAGGTACAATGATAGTAACCAGAGTTATCAGGGTGGATTCAAGAGCCGTGGCAGGGGAGGTCCTCGCGGAGGTACCCGTGGTGCTTCTCGAGCGCCCCGCCCGCAACAGTACAATCGAAAACAAGAAAATGTTGAATAGTTCACGTGGAGCCCATTAATCTTACAACAAAAGTGGCATCGCTCTATGAATTTTCAGACTGACTAAATCATTCGTGGAAGGCAAATTTCACCGGCAACAACGCGCTGTAGCAACATCAAAAAGAGATTACGGTAATACAAAAAATAAAAACATTAAAAAAAAAAGTAAAATATTAAAACTTGAAACTAAATAAAAAATAAGTTACTTGAATTTAGGTGTATGATATATGCAGTTATTATAAGTTACGTTAAATCTTAGATTCTTTGTATAGGTTACGAAGTCACGCAAGTGAATTAAGTGACGCGGTATTTGCAGCAGGCTTCGCGGCTACCGCATGTCGCTCAGTACCTCGTGCGTGCCTCGTCCTCGTGATAATTTGAAAAGTACAGGAGATAGATGCACATTACTACTTATGAATGAAACGCGTCAATCGGGACCTTTCCAAATCTCATTAACCTTTGTAATTTTAATATAATTGCTTTAAAATTATAATTATTATAATATGTTAAAATAATTTCTACACATGTTTGTTTTCCTTTAACCATAATTATTTTAAATACAAAAACAGATGTTTGATCTTATGTATCATATTGTATTGTGTGCTTGTCATTATTAATGAGCATAATATTCCAAACGTGATCCATGCCGAGTATTGGTTGATTTTATAATTTTTGCTACTCATTTCAATTTTGTTTATTAATCTATGAATAAAAATAATGTCTTTGTGACATTGGAAAATTAAGTTTGATCCAAGCACTTCTCTCTATTACTTTACATTGTTCTCAATAGAGGCTGTGTGCAAGCAATTTAAAGTATTCTATGAATAAACATTGTTTTATTTTTTTTATTTAACCTTAGTATCAAGTGATATTGAAAAATGTACTAATAAATAGCAAAATAATTTCGACTTTAATAGCGTTTGAATAAAGGGAATCCTACAAATTTGTAAAAAATATAAAACTACACTGAGGTTGAATTAATATTTATACTGTCTCTAAAGTGTCCACATATACGCCCAAGCCTAACCATAAAGCGTGGTCATGAATCCCCTATATTTATTTTGTACCGTAAGAGTTTGTCACTGCATCTAGTAGAATTGAATCGGCTAATAATGGTACCTTTCCATGCTTGCCAAGCCTTGGCAAACTTCTTCAAGCCCCAAGCGTCCACAAATCTCGTTTGGCGTTTGGAAGTAGTTTTCATGCTTGTGAATGCGTCCGTGTGCTACGTACACCCAAGCATGGCGGACACCGAACTTTGTCAGCTATTGCGTTTACTTTTATTTGAAATACAAGCAAAGTAATACCAAAACGGAGTTTTTTTGCTTTTAATTCTTTTACTGGCTTTCCCGTTAACGCGGTAAGACGACTCCAAGCATCTGCAACTTTCTTTTTATTTTTATGATTAACGTCTTTGGGGTTCCAAATAGACGATTAGCTCTGGTAATATTCCTGAAATGATAAACTCTTCGTTGGACCAGCCACTCACAAAGAACTTAACATGCGCTCGTCGCGAAATCACAATTTCTACTAAATGCGCACCAACGTGTAAATGCGTTTCAAGCGCTTGCTGCAAGCGCCCTTTGATCTGTGTCCAAAAACCGACACGACTGGATCGGGGACAAGCGTACACAAGCTCACGCAAGCCACGACACGCTATGGTTGTACAATCTCGTCTTCAAGTTTTGTAGTATACCTGCCGAGATGTGTCGTAATTTCCCGAACGCTGCCCAGCAGAGTTGAATCCGTCGATTGACCTCTCGCTCGAAGTTTGACTTACCTACTCGGACTATTTGTCCCAGGTAAACATACTCGTCAACAACGTCGAGCTTAGTGCGCCCAACTGCTTACTACCGGCATAGGTGTGACATGGATGTTACACGTGATCTTTGTTTTGTCCATGTTCATCTTAAGACCCCTATCCGTTGGGAGGCACTATTGAAGTCATTGAGAGTAGTACTTAGGTCCTCCAGCGATTCTGGCGATTAACGGCTGCTGCGGTTTATTTATTCACAGCATACCACTACAACGTGAATGTGTATAAGAAAAGGATGATCAAAAAGAAATTTTATTTATTGACGGCTTCGTGGCGTATTGGCTTAGCAATGAGTTGCTGAGCTGGTGACCGCGGGTTCGAATCCCGCGCGGAACAAGTATTTGTATAGGCTGCAAATAATTGCTCTGGGTGTGGATGTTTGTCCTTATGCAATTTATGTTTGTAAGCTGCCTCCACGATACAGTAGAAAATCCTAGTGTGGAGATAACCTTAAAAAAAAAAGACTTGTGTTTTTTGACAAACAATTTTCGGCTTGGTATAGAGCTCTATAAAGCGAAAGGTTTTTTCATTGGTCATTGTTACTGCCATTATGTAGACACTAGTTGCGATGCGTGTATATAAAATGTAAATCAGGTGCGTGCGATCACTCTGGGAGCTCGTAGCAAACAGTGTTGCCATCCTTATACGAAGTAAAATCTGTACTGGGTTCTTAAAAATCCGTATAAATTCCGTACGTCTTTATTATTAGTAAGAATATTATATAAAAAGAGCAGTTGCAAAAAAAAAACATACAAGGAACTACTTATTATCTAACAACAATTAGAATAATCCAAAATAATTGCGAAACCGCCCGTATATTGATTGACAATGAATATAAGGATTGATAAGAATTTGATTAACTTATTTAAAATCATACATTTCCTTTGTGTTAATTTTTTTATAATTGATGAGTTTGCTTCGAAATCAAAACAGACTGCTCCCTAACAAATAATTAGTATATAGCAGTCCCTCTATTGTCTCAGTAGACAATTGATTTCCTTGTTCATATTGAGAGCTGAGAATGTAATATGAAATCCGTATCTGAATGTTATCCGTATGCGAGGTTTAAAATCCATATAAATACGGATATCCGTATAGTTGGCAACACTGGTAGCAAACTGAACGTGCGCCCAACGTGTGGACGCGGCGGCCAATAATCTGCCACAACCCTTTGATCTTTTGTAAAAAACCGACACCATACGGATCTTGCGCTAACTTGTGGGTCATCATTCCAATACATACCAACATAAGCATAAACACCCGCTCTACACGATGGCCATCGTTATTGGCCAACACATTCGCCAGTATGTTGGCCAGCGTGAAGAGCCGCCATAAAATACCTAAAAACATTTGTTTCGTTAATGTACGAACGGAATCATAATAAAAACGTTTATGAAGAGAACGAAATTTTAAATCGTTGTTGTTCAATAAAACGTTTTTGGCCCTGCAATACGAAACAAAATACCTTATAGGTTTAAACTTGTTGTGGCACGTGCCATTCATTTAGCTTCCTGCTGAATAAACCGTTTTTTACGTTTTCACATAGCTTTCTCATTTCGTTTTTGTTTTGTGATTTATTAGATATTAGATCTTAGATTTTATTAGAAATAACGTTTTAAAAACGTTATTTCTAATAACGTTTCCGAGCCCTGGCCATAAGGACTATATCGTCGGCAAATAGAAGGTGAGTGATGTACTCGCTATTGACGTAAATACCGTATCCTTTCCAGTCCAGTAGCTTGAAAACGTCTTCCAATGCAGCGGTGAAGACTTTCGGGGATATAACATCACACTGTCTTACATCTCTCTGCAGTTGGATACATTTCGTACTCCGGTTCTGTACTCGGATAGCCATTGTAGCCCTACTGTACAAACACTTCAGCACTTCGATATACCGAGAGTCAACTTGGCACCGCTGAAGGAACTGCAGCATCTCTTTGTAACTTTATTCATCGGGGGTATATTGCCATAGTTGCCTCGCTTGGCGAGCGGGTTAGCAACCGCAGTTTTTTATTGTTATTTTGCTGTTCTCAGAATCATCAGAGCCCATCTTCTGCCTCGATTTCCCTCTGCCGCCTCTTATGACATCCATGGGAAGATATGGGGTAGTGGATTTTCTTACCCGCCACTACACGGGCTACCACAATAATACTAAAACATAATTAAAACAAATAGCCCGCGTTATTATTCGAAAACCGTCACGTGAAGTACCGTCGTTCAGGGACAAAGAACACTACGGAACATAGATAAAAATAAATATGTAGCAAGGCAAGCTACCGAAAAAAGAATTGTATCCAAAGCTCAAAACCAAAAAATTGAAAGTCCGTCTTCAGAGTATGTTACTAGCATCGCAGCGGGTACCCATATGAAACTTCGCGAGACTTTCAAAACTAAGTATTCGTTAACTTTAAAATTTTCGTTTACGGTAAATTCGAATAATTTTGGGTCAAAATCACATACCTATTGATTTGAAATCCCATACATTTGAGAAGTTAGCACTAAAATTACTTAAATTTACTTTAAGGGTGCATGTAAGGTATGAAAAAAAAAACTATAAATAGGTGGGTGATGTGATTTTAAAATGTGACTAAAAGGGTAGATTATATTATAAACTACATTACGATTGATGTTTTTATTGTTTTTGCACATAATATTTCCACGCATGTTATTCCAGATATATATGTCGGAACTTCACCACAAAATTCCACTTCTGATCTCGGAAATACACCAGGAAAGGTTAATTGTTAAAAATAATAATAGTGTGTGCGTGTTTTTCTATATACCCTAAATTCCACCTCGCCACCTTCGATATTACGCTCCGCTAGTGACGCAACCTCTTGCTCCCTCTGTGAGAAAACAAATTGAATCCTTTAATATTAGTTGGTATATAGTAGAATACGTCGAGGTGTTACGCAATATATGAGTATTTATTTTGTTAAAAAAAAAACGTTACCCCCACACTAGGATTTTCTCCTGTATCGTGGAGGCAGTTAACAAACATAAATTACAAAAGGACAAACATCAAGACCCGGAACTATTATTTGTAGGCCATACAAATACTTCTTTCGTGCGGGATTATTGCTGAAAAATTAAAGAGAGGCAATGAGAAGTGCTGCTTACTTCCAATTTTTCTTTTATCGACCAAGTATTATGACCAGTTTGTTCAGATATTCGCAGTAGAACCAGAGTAACCGACATAGCCCAAATAATTAGTATGTTGAAGTGGCAATGGGCCGGCCATATAGCTCGAATAACTGACAACCGTTGGGGAAGAAAGGTTCTCGAGTGGCAGCCTCGTACCGGCAGACGAAGTGTAGGGCGTCCCCCACTAGATGGAGTAACGCCCTGGCAAGACAAGCAGGAAGTCAACGGATGCAGGTGGCTCGGGACCGTGCTTTGTGACATTCCTTGGGGGAGGCGTATGTTAAGCAGTGGACTTGTGAAGAATAGAATAGAATAGAATATTTTTTATTCAATATACATTACATGTGTAATTCTTATTGAAAGTCATTTTTTACTTTACCACTGGTTCGAAAAAAACCCTCTGTCCTGGGAAGAACCAGCAAGAAACCCAGCGGGACTTTTTTTTTAAATAAATTTTACAATATAAATGATTACGAACTATTTACAAAATTTATTTTAGAAACTGCTTGGAAGCGATCACCTCATTCCCAGGGGTTATTATCAACCATGTATTCATTTATACTATAATAACCCTTTTTATACAGTTTTAGCTTAATAAAACATTTAAACTTGGTAATAGAGAGAACCTGTACACTTTCCGGGACCTTGTTGTAATAGCGTATACATTGCCCCAAGAATGAATTACTGACTCTGTGGAGTCGAGAAACTGGTATCACTAGCTTGTGTTTGTTGGATCTGAACTTAAATTTTGAATAATTGATTTATGCAAGGGCTTAACATCTGTAAAAATGTTATCTATACAGGTCGCACTAGGCCCAGCAATACGTGTTGGTTCTAAGAATAAATTTACAAGATTATACGATTTAAACAATGAGCTAAACTTAATACTAATGGAAGAAGTTTCAAGGAGATTGATATTAAAGTCTCCAAGGACTGGAATGATGATGAAGATGATGAATTTTCTGTTGTCAGCTATTTTCATTGTTGTAAACAGATATAGGTACAAAGAAACATCAATAAGCATAATCGACAAGGAACTACCCATCCCTGTTGAACCATATTGAATTTTGTTTTATAAAAATAGGCAATTTAAAGCCAAACATTTAATAAGATAAGTGACAGATTTTTAAGTGCCTATATTATCAAACAATTTTAATCTGTTTATGATTGGAATTTATGGCCGGCACTAGACCAGCGGTGGATTGTTGTTTCTGTATTATTGTATAAATAATGGTTCGTAGTGGATTTTGATAAGTAAAAAGTGGTGCGATTTTGTGTATTAAATGTCTGCACATGTGAACTATTAGTGGAAACGGTGAAATTAGTGCTCCGATGGTGATGTGATTCTCAAGATAAGGTGTCTGTCTGCTTAAGCGCCTTGAGGTACCATCGCCAACTCCCAACTGTCAGCTGCTGACTCAAGTTGCCGTCAAAATCTCCCAAGATCTGCACAATGTGACGCATCCACATATTGTGAAGTAGTGTACTATGAAGGATAATTATACATTGTAACTTCAGGCTCAGAAGGATTAGAACCCAGATATTACGTCTTTGGTTTCAAAAATATTTGTACTAGGTACGTCACAAATTAATAATAAGACTTTTTCTTAATAACTGGCTTTACGGTTCTGGTATCTAGCCCTTCTGAGCCTGAAGTTACAATATATTATAATAATTATTCTTCATAGTATACTGCTTCACAATATGTTGATGCGTCACATTGTGCAGCCCTTGGGAGATTTTGACGGCAACTTGAGCCAGCAGACCGACACCTTATTTTGAGAATTACATCACCATCAGAGCACTTGTTTCACAGTTTCCACCAATAGTTCTTATGCACAGACACTTAATTCACAAAATCGCACCACTTTTACATAGGAAAGTCCATTTCAAACCATTATTTAAATAATAATACAGGAGCAGCAAACTGTCGCCGGTCAAGTTCTCGCCAAAACCCCTAAAAAAACAATTAATAAAAAGTTCTCTGTCTACGTAGAGCACAGACGACCGTCCTCCGTACTAAAAGTTACCTCCCCCCCCCCACCCTATGAATTTGGAGTATATACATAAAACAAATACTGGCAGACGTATTTTAAATAGCACGTCTCAAAAATATTAATTATTTAAACTGCACCCATGTTGTTTAGAAATAAAAATAGTTAAAAATTGTTCACCTTATAACGTCGATATTACTTCAAACGAGTTGAATGTAAATTCAAGAAAAACAACTTCCTTCTGCGTGAATCCCATATCTCTGGTGCCCTTTAACCTACAGGACCCAAATTCAAACTCGACCGAGCTACTACCTCAAGGTATCCACATACCAAATTTAAAGTCAATCGGTTCAGTGGAACGGAAGTTATCGTGTCGGCATACAGACTAACAGACTGCCAGCTAAAACCATTAACTTCCTTTAAATGCTACGCAGAAGGAAGTTAATAATTAGAATTGAGTACTTTTTACAGTATAAAAAAAACTGCATCTTGCTTGAAAATAATTGCACCATCGTTAAAACTGCATTAAATGCAATGATAAACACAAAAGTTGATAAAACCAAATTTCTCAAGTGTCGAATGCACCCAAACGACAACAAAAAATTTCTCAGTAGCGAGCTTTGAGCATAGAAAATAGAGGAGATGACAAGCCTACAAAAAACGTGTCAAATTAAAACAATAAATGGCGGACGCTGTAAGCTCCGCCCATTTTTTAGTGATGTGAAGTCAATATATTATGTATTTTTATTTATTTTTAAATATGCAAAATTATATTTTCTCTAACGATTAGGGAGGCTAGGGGAATTTCCCGTGAATTTAACCGTCAGATGATTGCTGCTCCAGTTTTATCGTTTAAATAATAGTTTGAAGACGATACTTAATGCACGGATAGCAACTCGTGCTTGTAAGTTAGCAAGCTAGTTGCTCTGTATAAGCTTTACTTCTGGGCTAATAAGTTACTATCTAAAGCCAGGATGGTTAAACAGGATGGAGTTCTCTTTTTGAGCTAGTAACACCCCCCACCATTTTTTTTCTACTATTCTGGCTTGTGCACCAGTTTCGTGTGGCCGGTTAAGCTTATATCTTTTGAAGTAAAAACTACTTTAGAATCGCTGTGATTTGAAAATTATTATACTTTACGATGCACTTGTGGTTACAAATTATCATATCAAATAAATTATTTGCCGTGAAATATTTTTTATTTTCCACCCCGGCTTAGCATGGGTGATTTCTGGATTTTGGCAACAAAATCAAGAAAAACCAAGTGAAGTAGACACAAAATAATAAAAATCTGCGGATGCTGAACCGCCTACCAAGCGGGGTAGCTATGGCAAAATACCCTATGTAGTTACCGAAGTAAATGAAGTTCGTATACGGTAGAGGGTGTTTTTGGGGGTATGTAAGCAGCACTGAAGACATGGCGCTTTGAGGTTTGCTTACTAGGAACTTCGATGATGACATGTTCGATAAGGTTATGCAATGAAAAATTTACACGAGTCAAAGACACGTTTAACTCAGATGATCTGAGTGTACGCAAAACCGCAATCAGGACACCACCCCCATCTAGTTTATTCGTGCTGATACGATCACGGTCGCACCTGTACACAATATAGCGTTGATCGATAAACTCATTGTTGCTAATTTCCGATATCAACCAAGTCTCGGTAAGTACGATGATATCATAGTTACTGTTTAAAATGTTCATATAAAGTGTGTGTAATTTTGTACGGAAACCTCTGCAATTTTGGTAGTATAAGGAAAGTTGCTTGCTAACTATTACGAATAACTGAGAATAAACATGTACATATTAACAGAAATTGTGCGTGCAATGTCTATTTGAATAAGAGCGTTTTCGCTTACGATGTTCAAGTCTTTAAAAAAATAATAAGAATATTGTACCTTATTACAGCACAATATATCAGTCACGCAGCAAATACGCACCCGCAATTTCCCATGAAGAAATAATTCAAAATATAGCTTCAAAAAGTTAATAATAATTACAAAAACATGCATGCAAAATAAAAAAATGAAGAAAACTTTATAATTAATATTACACCACACTGTTACAGCCCACCGGTTAAAGTATTTTGTTGATACATAATATACAACATAACAACCATACGTACACCTGTTAAATTTAAGGGCTGACATATTTATGATATACTCATAAATTTTTAATTTGTTTATAGTACTACAACAGACAAGTAACACAATATCGCAGTAATTAAAATGATTGAAAAACTCGTAAGTTATCAAAGTATAACAACATATGGCAATATAGAGACCAAGACGATTACATAATAATAAACCTAGGAATAACATACAATTTAGTAACACAAGTATGTTTATAAATTTATAATTGAACTGAGCGTTATTTTTAATTTTGACGTAAGGCACACTTATTTTATGTTTAAACAAGTTTACTTTATATATAGTTATCACACCAAATGATTTTATTAAAGCACTATCACAATCAATGTTAATATATAATTCATAAAATGAAAAGTTCAACAAAGTGTAACATAGTGCAATAATACCATATAACCCTACTAATGTAACATAGTATAAGGAAATTTTTATTGCAAAAGTATTAAATATTTTATTTGACGTGTTGTTTGCATTTTTGGGTGAGGGAGCGATAAACATCATTAATAAAAACGTATAATACAGAATGACACATAATGAAGAAATTAGGCAAGATATATGGTAGGAAGAGTAATGATAATAATAAAAAGTATTGTTATTACTGAATATGTTGGGTAGAACTACCACAAGGCCTATTATCACCACCTTTAGTGCGACTTTTGATCTTACGAAGGTCATCATCTGTGCGTATAGCAAAAGCAGTTTCACCATCTCGTTCGCGCACCAGAATAGTGGCATTCCGAACCCAGACGTACTTGTATTGGTGCATAGTGGCGAGATCTCTGGTTTTACGAAATAATTGTTTTTTCTTCAGTGTAAGATGCTCGTTCATATATATGGTCATTGGCAATCCGGAGAGACCTAGCTGGTCGGTCTTGAGAGTTTTCACCTTACGGAAAGCCGCAAGTACGTTGTCCCGAAGGATGCGTGATGATAGTTTTACAATAACATTTTTCGGCCATTTTGTTTGATGGTGAGCATGGGGAACTCTATGGATTGACAGGATATCTCTCTGAGAAATCGGAAAGTTAATAGCCGTACTAATTGATCCCATTATGTTCAACAAGTTTCCACTGCGAGTTTCAGGAATGTTACAGATTTCGACGTTGCATTGTCTGGCTTGTTGCTCGAGGTACTCGATTTTATTTTCCAAGTTGCTAATAGTTAGGCTAGATTGTTCGGTAGATTTACGTATTGTGTCATCCACTTTTTTTTTGAGATCATCTTGTTCCCCGGAAAGAAACTGCATAGATGCTTTTAATTCTGAAACATCATTGGATATATCAATAGTTTGATGCTTTAGACGCTCATGTTCAGCACGAAGGGTGCATATCTCGTCCCTGAATCCATTTAAAGCAGATTTTAAATCATCATTAAGTTTAGTTATACTCGCCTCCATCTCATATCGCCAGTCATGTAGTGAACTCTTGATATTCTCTTTGAATACAGTTAGTGTATTGTTCATGTCGCTTCGCCATTCCTCAATGGTCTTATGAAGTTCCTTTGCGAATGTATGGAAAGTAACACCCGTCTCCAGGGCAACACAGTCAGGGACTGAAGCAGCTGGTCTAGTCAGAGTACAGGGACTGTTCGATGAGATGGGTGCTTGGCCCTCGGTTTCATATGACATATTCATGTTATCGTCCAAAGGTATTTGCGTGGATCGCACAGGCGTAAGCAAGTTGGATCGTCCACGACGGGTAATATTATTGCACGAGGGACATTTCCAGGTTGCCTTAAATTCTTCTGTCAGTGAGGAATATTGTTGCTGCTTAATATTTAGGCATTCAATGTGGTAGATTCCTTCCACAGATTACCCCCTAATAGATACCGCATCATTGAATATTTGTTCTATTTCGAGTTCACCAAATTTGGCCCTATGCAAGGGTTGCGGGGGACGTGGCAAATGTGCTGTGATTGGATATTTAAAGGTCAAACTTAGAATGTACCAAACCATAGTGATGGAACAGGGTTGGGACGTTGATCGATAAATTTGGGATTTATTGATTATTGATAATGATAAATAAATATATTGATCAATTTTTATTTGATGTTTATTAAAAAATTAAACATTGTATACATATATTTGTACATTTAATTTATAAATATATATTTGACTGATTTTTAAAATGGATAATCTTAGTATAAAATTGTCTCACAGAATTCTTAGGATCTGTCTTCCTGGATGAGTAGAGTAATCTTACGAGTATGTCTATGTATTTTTCCATAACACTCTTAGCTAAATCAATGACATGATTACAACTTTCGTGATCGAATTGGTGATTTTTTTATTTTATGAAAAATATCCTCATTAACAAAACTGCTTATTTATTTGTTTAATTATGCTTATTTATTTATATTTATTATTTTTATTGTTATATATATTATTTTATTATTATTATTATTTATAATTAAGCTTAATTGATTGTGTTAAAACTACAAACTTTCCTAGTGTTTTTACAGAAGGTAAAGAAGTATTAAATGTTTTGCGTACATAATTATAAGCCTAGCTGAGTATTTTATGGTGAGTGCAAAAGCTCTCAATTGTGGTGAATATTTTTTTCTAACAATTTTGCCTGATTTTCTAGATTTTGATTTTTCTAAGGAACTTAATGCGTCATTGCTTCCGCTGCTAATGAATTTTTGTTTTCTTATTATACCAATAGTGACTTCAAAGAAACTTACTTACTAAACTACTTGTTTTTAGTCTTCTGTTGGAATCACTTAACTTTTTAACTTTTTTATCTTTTTTGTTCATTACGTTGGTTAATTCGATGATTCTTCTACAAAGACGTTTTTAACTGGAGTATTAAATGCAGATGGCGTATCAGGCGTCGTCCTAATTGGGAGCGATCGTACGATGGCGCGATGCGTTTTTCATCTCACGATCAAAGTGGTCGTACGATGACCTAACAGGTGTCCTAATAGATCGCGCGATGTCTATCGTGCGATGCCGTCGCTCGATGGCTGGCGTCGCGCTTACGCCACTTTAACGATGGCTCTTTATAGAGATGCACAGTTTTTGCTGTCGGGCAATATTGCTTTAAAAATTGCAAATGACATTGAAAAAAGGAAACGTAGACAACATAAAATACTTTATAGATCCAGGAATCTGCGCGGTGAATTTTTCAACCTTTATTTTGATGTACGAAATAACGAAGAAGACTTTTACGATTATTTGTCTATGTCAAAAGAAACATTTGACTACATCTGCAATGGAATACGTAGCGATTGTAATCATAGAGTGACCAACTTTAAAAAACCCATTAGTGTGGAAGAAAGATTGGTATTAACAATCAGGTAAGTTTTTTATTATTATTATGTGTGCGTATCCATTTTCCTCCAATTTGTAAGTCCCTGTTGAAAGACCATTCAAATGAAAGAATGCAGGTTGCAGGTTGCAGGTTTGAACCCCGGCACGCACCAATGTCTTTTAGAATTCATGTGCGTATTATAAATTAATTATCACTTGCTAAAAACGGTGAAGGAAAACATCGTGAAGAAACCAGCACACCTGAGAGATTTTTCAACGGTGTGTGAAGCCATGTCAGAGGCCTACGGGCGGTTTAAACTCTGACACCAGGTTGTTCATCAACCATACGATAAGAAGAAGACGGTATAAAAAAAGCAATAATCACACATTTTTTTATTAGAAAAAGAAATTGAGGTGTAAAAAATCTTATATTCAAGAATCATATTCAGCATTAAATGATTCGTAGAATTGTTGTGTGTTTGTCGGTGGTGCCATGGATGGATGTGAGGATGCGTGCACAGGTGAAGGTATGATTGACATTGACATAGTAGATGAAGAGTTTGAAGGGGGTGATGGCATAGCTAGAGAAATTTCGTCTGCTATTGTATTCTGTAGTTTACTTTTTAATCTTAATTTTTGCACTGGATTCATATATTTAAAATATGGAGCTAGAGATTTCAAAAATAGTAAATCTTCATCCTCAACTTCATTTTCTTTCTCCTTAAACGCTTTAATTTTATCTTCTTCGATTTGGATCATTCGACGCTGATATTCGGTTAAAGATTGATTTTCTTTACGTTTTCTTTTTTGGGATCCAGTTTGTAATCCACTATCCAAAGCTTCAGTTGACAAAGCACTCGTGCTCTGTGTAATTGTACTGCGCGCACTTGTAGACAGTGGTTCGTCATCAGAAGACACAAAAGCCTCGGATCTATTAGACATTGCAGTAGAATTCTCTTCATCAGGCAACTGAAGATTCTGCTCTGATCTTGAAGTGGATGGTAGGCTGGCATCATTATCATTATTTCCAGTTTCTTGATGAACATTATTACCTTCGGTTGGTCGAGGCATTGAAACATCCTTTAAAAACAACATATGTTGGTAATAGGTCCACTTTCCTGAGTAATATTGTTCATTTGGGCTTCCTGGATCTCCAGAGCGAGGCTTACGAACTTTTTTCAATTCTTTTAGAAAGACATCCCTTAAGTGTCGCCACCTAGTTTTAACGTCCTTTTCTGTAATAAATAACAATAAATTTTAATTCAACGTGTTATTATTTACAGGTACTTAACAACAGGAACCCCTTTTCGGAAATTAGGAGTGCCATTTCGCATTTCAAAAACCGCAATAGCAAGTATCGTGATGCAGGTTTGCAGTGCAATTTGGAATAATTTTAACGAAATACATATGAAGTTTCCAAGTATCGAAGATTTTAAGGAAATAGCAAATTCATTTTCAAATAAAAATAAATTTCCACATTGCTGTGGGAATCTGGACGGAAAACACATTCGTGTCGTAAAGCCACAACTCTCTGGAAGCATGTATTTCAACTACAAAAATTATTACTCAATTGTTTTATTAGCGGTCTCCGATTCAGACAATACATTTCGCATCATTGACGTAGGTGCATACGGGAAAGATAGTGATGGAGGCGTTCTCAGCAATTCAAAATTTTTTCAAGAACTTAACAGTGGAAATATTCAATTACCATCCGAGGAACGATTACCGAATAGTGATATTGTGGCACCATATGTATTTTTAAGGGACGAGGCTTTTCCTTTGAAAACGTTCATAATGAGACCTTATCCAAGAACACAAGCAACAGGAAATGCAGATAAATCAAGATTTAATTTCAAATTGTCTACTACAAGGGTCGGTATAGAATGCACCTTTGGAATGGCTGCTAGTAAATTTAGAATTCTTTTAAAAAGCATCGAAACATCTGTGGACAATTCAATTAAAATTGTAAAGGCAGTCTGTCTGTTGCACAATATTATAATACACAGAGATAAGAGAGAACCAGAATTATCTGTAACAAATAATCAATTAAATAACAATTTTGGAAGACTTCCTCGTAATAGAGTTAATAATCGTGCTACAATAACAGCAATTAACTCTAGAAAACTCTTCACCACTTATTTCCTTAATAGAAATGATTCCTAATTAACAGTTAATTTACGTCAATAGGGCTTAGTGCATGGTTGGCATACTAAATTCACCTATGAGGAGCCCCACTATGGGAAAATAAAATTATAAAAAATGTAAAAAATATATTGACGATTCAAACCCTCATATCTTCTAAAGTATACCACTTACGATAATTTACTTGACACATGTTTCATCATTGGCTGTCACAATTTTTTTCCCCGTACTGAGGCTCCTCATGGGTGAAATCGGGTCTAGTTCATAATTTCGAACGTGAAATCACTATGCCAGGCTTCATACAAAAATGTCAGAACCTCTTTAGTAATGAATGGAGGTACGATTTACGATTACGATTCAAATTATATCTAACTATACTAAGTAGATACTTAAGCCAAGGTATGAGTGTGAGTGTGTGTGTGTGTGTGTGTGTGTGGTATACATTATACAATTCTGGTTGTGATTAAAACTAAGCTCAAATTACTATCTACTTACTTGTTTTATTTACGTTCCTCGCAATTATATCCCATGCTCTTTCACTTTTCAACCTGTTTTTATAGTCCTCACTCTGTTTATTCCAAACAACAGGATGTAAACGTACTTGGTTAATTAAATCTTCTTCGAATGTCATCTTGTATGTAACAGAATAACCAAACGCTTTACACGAAGAATGAAAACACAAAATGGCGTCCGGCCGCGAGCGAGCCGAGTACCTACTGTGTGTCACTGGTGTTGGCCCTTGCCCCTTTCGTCCCGCGCCCCTCGCGCGTCGAGGCATCGCGTATGTAACCAATTAGGACACTCAAAAGAGATCTGTTGCTTTGATTACATGGTCGCACGATCAAACGCATCGTACGATCGTTATTAAGCATTTCATGTGCTCGCACGATTACTTGCGAGGTTCAAATAGGACACTCTGATGAAATCTGTATGTTTGAACTCATCGCACGACGAGAACGCATCGTGTCATCGTACGATCGCTGTCAATTAGGACGACGCCTCAGGTATAGGAAAAAAATTTCTTTTTTGTTTTGTAGGCGTTTCTAAACAATGACTCTGATTTTTAGGTGTTGGCGGGTTTTTCGCGTCTTTCAGCGGAGAACCAGTAATCTAAATCAGAAATACATATTCGTTTCTTTTAAAACATTACCGATATAGTATTATTAATTAATACACCATACGGCACGTCTTCCAAATTTAGATGTACTTAATAATTATAATAAGATAATACTGAAGTTCATGTAACACTAAATACCAAGTCAAAACAATAATCACATTATAACTTTTACAAGTTTTATGATTTATAAATCCGTTCAAAATAGCTTGATTTCAACGTGTAACATTTACCTAAATATAAGAATATCATGTTTCACTCAACCACTTAATGATATTATTGTGTAATTTACGTTAGTACTAATCTTTAAAAAAAGTCCATACCAAAAATGGCAAGAATCCAACAGCTTTATACGGTTTTTCATAATATTACGAAGAAAGGTGGGAAACCATTCGTCCCCTCGACAATTTGCGTCGATCCACATCTTTTTTCCTTTCGGGGCATTTCGGAAACCTATAACATATAGGTACCACAATGATACGTCACTATTTTTATAAAATAATGACTTCGATATAAATAATTAAACGATGACCAAACAAATATCGACTTAAAACTCACAACACTATCGATACACGTGCTGTTGTTAGACAAAGACAACTATTGTAATTTACGTAATGAGTGAAAGGGACATTTTAAAAAGACATCATCGGGTGCTTAATTGTTATCACTTTGCACCATTAATATACCAGTATAAGTTGATCTCCGGTGCATTTGAAATAGGTTAACGTGATAAGAATAGAATTTACTTACCAATTATAATGTATGCCATCTTTTTGATAACTGGATGTCTTAGCTGACTTGTCACACCATTTTACTGCACAGGAAGCCATTTGTAATGTATTTTAGATACAAAACTATTTTTAAATTGTCAAGAACTCGGACGTGCCTACGGATCACAAACTTGGTCGATACTGATGTCGTGATTCTTAGCTTCACTTCGTATGCTAGCTACAGCAAGTATGTGTTGCGCGCGTTTGTGGCCCTGTATGCGGAATCTATTAGGAGGTAATCTATGATTCCTTCACAGGCATGACAATTCAGCAGCCGCGCCCCCGACTTGCAGATTGTATTACAACCAGCGCAATTCATTTTTAAGAAGCAGTAGTTTGTAATGTTATTATTGTACACTGTAAACACAAAGAGCGCCACCTTTTGGTGGCACAGGAACTCAATCGATGTAAGTATCAAGAATTGAAATTAGTAGTACCGATGTCAGACGACAATAATTTGTCCTCAATATAAGCATAATCAGATAGATGGCGTTATTTATAATTTTGTAGAAGAGATCAACGACATTGATTCAAAATCAAAAGTAAAAAATTTTTACTACAACCGTCAATATCACACGATGAAACGTTTTTCAAAATACACTTAATGTATATAGTAATATATTGTTGCACTTTGGTTTAAAAGTTATTAACACTGAAATTTATTAATAATTAACTTGAATTAACACAACAATACTGTTATTTATAGTGTCAACAAATTATATTTAATATCGTTATTTCCTACACTTTTCGTGAATGAGAAGACGTTATAACACTTGCACATCACTATTAGGGTTTCTACTTTGCACTAATTAATATTTTAGTTTATCTAAGCTGTTTTATAATTTTTAATAAAAGAAATACACGGAGCTGATTTTAACCGTGGCAACTAGCGCCATCTGTATGTAAGATATAAGAAAAGTGTATGTAAGATATAAGAAAAGTTTCGCACTAATTCTATAGTGTTTTTTTCATCAGGGACGCTGTCTATGTAATCATCCATATAATGATGCGTGCAAATAGCAAATACGGCGAACGGCATTGGGGAACTAAAACGGTGTGCATTTTATTTTTTATAAACTGTGAATGTCGTCCCATTCGCGCACGTTGTCAACCCCAGATGCTAAACATAAAACAGAATGATTTTGGCTAACGTGGTCTAACACCTGCATTTTACCCTGTACAAACCACCCAGGCGCAGTTAGGAAAGCGTAAGTAAGGTTCATTAGGTTTACCTACAATTATTAATTTGGGTAATATTTATAGGTAAACCTAATGAACTTTACTGAATTATCATGACCTATAAGAATTTCTGGTTTTACAACATTACAACAAATCCAATTATTTTAATACGAATAGTTATAAGATCGATAATTGATTACAGACAAGTCCTGTTTAGGTATTGACAGCTCTTTAACACTACGGGCATTTATACAAAACATACTGCCCTTTCTGTTTGCTATATTAAATTTTACAATATTTACATTACATTCTAGTTGGTCCCCACTCCACGGACCACATATGCGCATTGTTTCGCGGCGGCCGCGCAGCCCAGCTTGCTCATCCAAATTGGGACTTATTAATGAAACAGTAGACCCGTCTTCGAGCAAAGAAGTTGTACTAAATATACCGTTAGGCCCATGAATGTTTATTGGTACTACTTTTAATAATATTTCACAGTCAATGTCACTTACATGATTCGCAACTTCTGAAGGGGATTTTATCTCAACTGCCTGCTCGTCCGACACCGTACTTTCCGCTCGTATGTTCGCATTACTTACGGAATAAGGCTGGTGGCGATGGTGGTCCAGCCTGCTGTCGTCTTGGTCGTATGCGGCGGCCGGAGAGATCATCATTCCGTTTATGATGGGATACTAGACATTTGTAACGAATCCGTTTAGCTTAACGTAAAGCCACCTATCTTTACGCAACGACGTCTATCTTTACACAACGCCCCTTTAAACGGCTTGCAGTCCAGTAACTTATCTTTTGAAACACGGCAATAAGGATGCTTATCACTGTCACTATTTACATCGCTTTACACTAATATTTTCTCACTACGCGTGGCGAATTCAGAGTGTCTTTTGTTTATAAACGGTCGCGTATTAACCGAACTAACACTGGGCTTCGATATTTTAATTGCTTCGTTAGTTAAACACTCTGACAGTATCTCCATTTTAGTTATAGTGTGTTCAACTCCTAGTGAGTGACAATGATCGATCCACTTGGATATAAATACTGTTGGCAGCTTAGATAAAATAGTTGACATGCACGCCCTGTAGATATTCGTGACGGCCCACGGCAGAGATTGCCGCCACGAAGTTTTTGACTTTGATGGAAAAGGACACAAATTCTTTGTGATATTTGGTCCATAAGACAAAGAAGCGGCTTCCCTCGGCACCGGAATTCTCTGTCACCGGCGGACACTGTGCACCCATACGTTGAGAATTATCGCGGGTACACTGCATATCCAGCTCATGTTGTTTGCGTTCCAGCTACGTCTCAACCTTATCTATACACTGTTTCTCCGATAGCGGACAGTATCTTCTTCTAAATGTGCTATATCCGCAGCCAACGTTTTGTGGATGAGTTCCATTTTTATGCGCGCTTTCTTTCTCTTCTGCTGCTTATAGCTCCAGCTTTTTTCTTCTTGCCTGAATGGATGAGGATGTAGCCGGTGCTGGTACACTTTTAACTTTTTTCTCCGAAGTGAAGCAGAGCCGTAACGGTTTTTTTCGACGGTACCGTTACACTACCTGTTTCTAAATATACTAACTCCGACTTAATTCCACTTCCAACAGCTTTTCCAATAGTAGCTGGCATTATTTCTACCTTATACTCCTGGTCTATCTTCTTGTAGGCACTGTGTGTTCACCATAGTTGGAGAGCTGCGGAACATTGATTCCTATGGGGCTCGAAGACCAAAATCTTTGTGACTTTCTGGGTGAACTCGCAGTGAAATAATGCTGAGTTTGTTCACAAGCTCCAACAAACATAAAAATTATAAAAGCTTTGCCGGTAGTTGTTGGGTGCACTAAGCTGGAAGTTGATGACGACTATGTTTATCTGGGACAAATAGTCCGACAATGTAAGTCTAACATCGACCGAGGGGTCAATCGATGGATTCAACTCGGCTGGGTAGCGTCCGGGTTCGGGACATTACGATATACATCTCATCAGGTATACCGTAAACTGCCGCAACATTGCCTTCCATGCTTAACTTTGCCTACAACTAAAATGTCCCTGTAGGTTTGTTATTTTTTACATCTGCAATACTAAAACATAGTAATTTAAAAAATTATGATTCTAGCTACCAAAAACTGAAGCCGCCATGTTTTTGAACCTCATACAGTTCACGTCATTAGCGATTGAACACATCGGAACACTCTTATTATGAGTCTTAAGGTGCCCATTGACGATACGTCCATCAAATCAAATGGAGTGGACTCGTGAATGTGGAAAACGTATGCTATTTGAATGGACGTCGGCCAGTTTTGGATTTCCAAACGAAATGAAATCCATGCATCCAAGCCAAATACATATACATATATATATATATATATATATATATATATATATATATATATATATATATATATATATATAGATCTCTTCACGGTAAATGTTGATCAGACGCGACTTCACACGAGTACTTTGTTGATCCGAAAATGTATGTTGATCCGACGCCTTTTCTTGATCCAATATGCATCTCTGGTAACTAATGTTGCTCCGACAGGATCAACATCTACA